GGCCTGGCCCCACTACCTCAGCCTTCCTTAGTGAGTCTCATCTGTCTTCCTGTGAGCACATAATCTGTTGTGCTGGTTCTGAGGGTAGACTCTGGACGACCAGCATCACCTGGGAATTTGTTAGAAATGCCAGTTCTGGGCGCCTGGGTGGCTCAGTTGGTTGGGCGACTGCCTTCAGCTCGCATCATGATCCTGGAGTCCTGGGATCGAGTTCCGCATCTTTCTCCCTGCTCAGCAGGGAGCCTGCTTCTCCCTCTGACCCTCCTCCCTCTCATGTGCTCTATCATTCTCTCTTTCTCAATAAATAAATAAAAATCCTTAAAAAAAAAGAAATGCCAGTTCTGGCTTACTGACGCTGACTGAGGGTGGGTCTGGGCAGTCTGTGTAAGTAGCCCTCTGGGGGGGTTGATACAAACTGAAGTTTGAAAACACTGACCTATAGGAACAGCCCTGGTGTTACACTTCCATCCTTATCCACTCCTCATCTGAGCAGGCTATCTCATTGATCCCACACCCTGCTGGTTAACATGGATAAAGGTTATGGATGTTCCTCTAATCCAAGCCCAGGGAAGGACTGTAGAACAAGAATGGCTGCAAACTTGAGAAATTCCCTCATTGCCCACCCAGGCCCCATCCCGGCCCTGCCCTCCGTGACACCTGGCCTCTGTTCCCCCACATTCCTCCGTCAGACCTCACTCCCAGTGTCTGCATCCTCTGTCTCATCTTCTGCAGCGTTGGGTGTTTGGGGGCGATCCAAACCTAACTGACCACTGCAGCCATCAGTCATGTCAAGACCCTCCAAGCTTTTTTTTTTTTTTTTAAGATTTTATTTATTTGACAGAGACACAGCAAGAGAGGGAACATAGCAGGAAGTGGGAGAGGGAGAAGCAGGCTTCCTGCTGAGCAGGGAGCCCAGAACCCTGGGATCATGACCTGAGCCCAAGGCAGATGCTTAACGACTGAGCCACCCAGGCGCCCCAAGACCCTTCCCGCTTTTAAACATCTCCTGTGTATTCCCTGTGACCTCTCCCACAGCTGCTGTTGTGACTTATGCAGCAAATTTTAGTGAGTTTATGTTTGGCTTTGCAATGCTCTTAACCAATGGTGGACAATCCAGGCTGCCCATTTAGAGATTTAAAAACCTGGGCCATTGGGGCGCCTGGCTGGCTCAGTTGGTGGAGCATGCAACTCTTGATCTCTGAGTTGTGAGTTCAAGCCCTACACTGGGTGTAGAGATTACTTAAAATCTTTCAAACAAAACCAAGACAAAACAAAACACCTGGGCTTTAAAAAAAAAAAATTAGATGCTTGAACACTACCCCAGAGAGTTTTTCATTGGTCTGGGGTGCAGCCTGGGCATCAGAATTTTTCAAAGCTTTTCTGGTAATTCTGTGGTGCAGTCAACATTGTAAACCACTCTCGGGGCGCCTGGTTGGCCTGAGTAGGTTAAGCAGCTGCCTTCGGCTCAGGTCATGATCCCTGAGTCCTGGGATCAAGTCCCCATCAGGGAGCCTGCTTCTCTCTCTGCCCGCTGCTCCTCCCCCTGCTCGTGCTCTCTTTCTTTCTCTCTCTCTCACTCTATCTCAAAGTCTTTAAAAATAAATGAAAAAAAAAAAAAAACATTGTAAAGCACTCTGCAAAACCAGTGGCTTGCAGACTTTAACACTTGGAGAATCTTATTAAGATCAGATTCTGGTTCACTAGGCCTGGGCTGGGTCCCGCGATTCTGCATGTTTAACAAGCTTGCTGCTGTTTGAGAGCAGCAGAGAGACCTCAAACCCGTCCTTGCTTTCCAACACTAATAACTGACCTTGTTATTTAAAGAGGGAGACCATCTCACATGGTACTCTAACTTTGTGCTTTTCCAGATCTTCACTTTTGTTCTTTCCTGCCAGTCATGTCCCCTCACCAAAGCTGACTTGCCCTTGTGCTTTGCATCCAGCCTCTCCTATCTGCATCCTGACCGCATGCCATCAGTTAATCTCTCCTCCTTTCTTCCCTCCCTATAAATGTTCCAGTTTCCTCTACTTAAATATCACCTATTTATTTCTCTTTACCTTCATCCAGACTTTTTTTTTTTTTTTAGATTTTATTTGTCAGCACAAGCAGGGGGAGCGGCAGAGGGAGAGGGAGCCTGATGTGGGGCTCCATCCCAGGACCCTGGGATCATGACCTGAACCGAAGGCAGATACTTAACAACTGAGCCACCCAGGTGTCCCTTTAAGTTTATTTTTTTAGTAGTATCTACACCCAACATGGGGCTCAAACTCAGGACCCCAAAATCAAGGGTTGCATGCTGGTCTGAGCCAGCCAGTCACCCCATACCTTCATCCAAACTCTTTACCAATAGAACCTGGCATTTTTGTCTGCTGCAATGTGGCTTCCTCCCCACATTTCTACAACTACCGACTTAGTTACAGAGCCTCCACCAGATACCTTTCACAGCCCTTAAATCCTTTGCATGGCCTCAGCCCCCCTTGGAACTGGTTCTCACTGGTGCCATGACCCATGTTCACCCAGGTCTCCACAGCCTGCCCTCCCGGTTACCTTTTCTCCCTTCGAGTAGCTGTGCTCTTCCTAAGAGTTGCCCCCTTTTTCCTCCTCTTCATACACCTTTCTCTAGATGGTTATTATCGTCACCTGCAACTTTACTTGTCCTTCTATGCAGTTGACGTCCATCTTCAAGTTGGACTTTTTGCCATGCTCTGGTCACCCTTTCCAAGTTCCTATTGGACATGGACACCATGTGTCCCTGCTGCCATTGTTCCAGGATTTTTATTTGCCACTGTTTTAAATTTTTTACCAGAATGATTGGCAATTTCATTTCCTACACCTTGCTTATTTTTAACATCCTTTCTTAGCCATTTTATTATAACAAACATTACAACTGACATATTTCCCTGTCCCTCCAATGTCATCCATTTATGTTTAAGTGTAATATCCTGGCTTCATGGCTCATCTCTCTTCCTTTTTATCGTGACAAAATACACACATACTATTTTAACCATTTTAAAGTGTACGCTTCAGTTGCATTAAATACATTCACATCATTATGCAACCATTACTACTGTCCATCTCTAGAACTTTTTTATCCCATGGTGAAGATCTATTCCCATTAAACTAATTCCCTACCTCCCTTCTCCCCCAACCTCTGGTAACCACTTCTTTCTGTGTCTATGAATTTAACTGTTCTAGGTACCTCAGATAAGTAGAATCACACACTATTTGTCCTTCTTTGGCTTATTTCACTTAGCGTGTTTTCAGGGTTCATCCATGTTGTAGCATGTAGCAGAATTTTATTCCTTTTTGAGGCTAAAGAACATTCCATTGTGTGTATAGACCACATTTTGTTTATCCATTCATCCATCAGAGGACATTTGGGTTGTTTCCCTTTTTGGCTATTGTGAGTAATGAATGTTGCAATGGACATGAGTGTGCAGATAATGTGTTTGAGGCACTGCTTTCAATTCTGTGTGGATACCCAGAAATGGAATTGCTGAATCATACAGTAATTCTGTTTTTAACTTGTTAAGGAACTGCCTTACCAATTTCCACAGCCACTGCCCCATTTTACATTCCCATCAGTGATGCTCAAGAGTTCCAATTTCGCCACATCCTCACCCTCACATGTTTTCTCTGTTTTGATAGTATCACCCTAGCAGGTGTGAGGTAGGAGCACTCTTTCTTGTACACCTCGCCATCCCGTTTTGTGGCTGCCACTTTAAACTCAATAGCCAGCCAAACTTTTCTTCTCCACTCTCTCCTTACCTATCCACTTCTGATACTCCTAGTTGGGGTGATAATATATCTTTTCCTGCTGATCCATGTTTCAAGCCATATTTGTCTCTGGCATGTTTAATCAACTGCCAAGCCCTATCAATTCTTCACAGAAATCACATCTCTTCCCTCCTGGATGCAGTTTCTCATTTTATTTCTTGCCTGGATTATTGTAATCTCCCAACCTGTCCAAACCCCTTGGTGCTGCGATAAACCTGAACCGTCTGCTATGGGCCCCTACTCCATATCCTATATCAGCTTTCCATTGCCCACCAGGAAAAGGGAGGGTGGAAAAGTTATCATTTAGTGAACACCTTTTATGTGCCACACACTAAGTGCTAAATGTACTAAATGCTCTACATCTAAGTTTTGAGTCTCATTTCACAGATGAGGACGCAGGCACAGAAAAGTAATTTGTTTAAGGTCACGCAGCGAGTAAGTAGTAACCTGGAATTCAAATCAGTTCAAAGGCAGCCTTACTCCAAAGCCGATTCTTAACCACTCTGCTCTACTGCCTCATAGCAGTCCTATGAAGTGGCTATCTCCATCCCCCTTCGATGAAGAAAGGCACTAAGTTAAATAACTTGCCTAAAGTGAGGTAGTTATTAACTTGGAAGCTGGAATTTGAACCTGGGTCTCTGACATCAAAGTCTGTCCCATGCTGATTCTTCATCTCTCCCAAATCCTTGGCCAGACAAAAAGGTACTCTGCCTTTGGGACCCAACATGTTACCAGCTTTATTCTCTCCGCGACTGCCTCATCCCTTGCCCCAAATTAGACAATTTGCCACTAAAGAGAAGCCAGGTTTAATTTTAACTCTGCTCTTGGTTGTCAAGTCGAAAACCAGTGACTACTTCCTGAAATCTTTCCAGCTGTCTAGGCTGGAAGAACTCAGCTGCAGCCCTGAGCTCCTGGCTCAGCTGTAACAGCTGTGAGGGCAGGGAATGTGCCCCATCAACACTGCCGCCCCCCGCAGCGGAGCACGTGGTAGACCACTGAAAATACAGAATCACTGGAACAGGCAATCACCTGCAACCACAAAAGTGGGGGAGTCTGAAAAGCAGAGGTTAGCTTCTGGCCCCAGAAGTCTGGCAGAAGTGTTTGCATTGCATCGATTTTCCATTGTTTGTCCTCCTCCCGGACTTCGAGGTCTCTGAGTGGGTGGAATCTCCCCTGACCCCCACCCCCAGGCTGCCTGAACAAAGCCTTTTCCAGCCTGAAGTTTTGTCCCAGTCATACCACAGCCAAGTAAACAGCCACCTGCTTGCCACCTGGGGAGGTAGGACTGGGCTTGGATAGGCTGCATAGTGGCCTCTTTGGGGTTACATTCAAACCCAATCTGCAGGTGTGGGAGGTGGGAGAGGGGCTGGGGACTGGAGTAGAGGAGGATGGCTTCATGACCACCTGCCCGAGGTGAAAGGGCTGTGTGGGCATGAGGAGGGAGGGCCAGTAACAAAAGAGGAATGTAAACCAACCCTTCCTGCAGTTCAGCAGTGATCTGGCCTGTATCTTGGCATCCAGAAAAAGCAGAAGGTTCCTTACTGAAAGCAGGTAAGTGTTTGTCTTGTCTGTATCAAGCTTAGAGTTGGTAGGGAAAGATCCACTTCTAGCAAATAAACAGTTGGGAAAGAGGTCAGAGCAGCCAGTGGGAAAGGGTCTTGTTTCATTTGCTACACAGAGTAGGAAGGAGGTGGGCAAGAGGAAGTGGCCACCCCATGACAATAGGACATCCCAGGCAACATCTAAGTCAGGAGGCATTTTCTTGGCACTGCTAGTGTAAGGGGCTCACCTCTGAGGAACTCTCACTTGCCCTGCTAATTAGAGGAGGTAGAGAGAGAACGGTCCTCTTCCTTGAGTGTCTCCTCACAATGTGAAGAAATGAGAGCAACTGAGGAGCAGAACTGAATGTCTCATGACAAGATTGACTGCAAAGTTAAAGGCAATGGTCCCCCTTGTGGTTCATGGATTCCAACATCTCTATTGAATGCCTCTGCACCAAGCTCCAGGGGTAAAACCCTAAGACTGCCTTGCCTCTCCCAGTAACTTAATCATTCTGATTGGAGGTGGAGTCCAGTAGACAAACCACTGTAATACAATGTAGTACGTGCTATACCTGGGTATTAAATGGGATCATAGAAGAGGACTCCTAGCCAAGATTTGAGGGACTTAAGAGGGACTTGTGTGAGAAGCTGAAGCCCAAAAACAACTTGTAATTCATCAGGTAGATATGGGGAAAAATTGTCCTAGTCAACAGGACAGTATGTGGAAGGCTCAGACGCAAGAGACTATGATGTGTTCTGGGAAGGGAGAGTTCCCAATGGCTGGCAGGGAGAGTAGTTGGAGGGGTGATTTGGAAGACACAGTCAAGCAGGAAGGTAGAGGGTCCAGGTCAAAGTTGGGAAACTGTCCTAAGAGTGCTGGGAAGTTAGTGCACTATAGGCGGGGAAGTGCTTAAATGGCAGGCTGGCAACTGGGACCAGACTTGCCCTTTTGCTTGCTTACTTGGCCATGTTTGCTTGTTATTTTTAACATTTTATTTATTTGACAGAGAGCACAAGCAGAAGGAGTGGCAGGCAGAGGGAGAAGCAGACTCCCCACTTAGCAGGGACGCTGGGATCACGATCTGAGCTGAAGGCATCTGCTTAACCGACTAAGCCACCCAGGTGCCCCTTACTTGGCCATATTTGTGGAGCTTGGATTTGAGGGAAGCAAGGCTGAAGGCAGGGGGCAGAGTGGAGAGGCTGTTGGGTGCTCCAGGCAGTGGGTGACACCCATGTGATAAGCAGTGGCTGGTGGGCCCACGAGAGACTTAGGATAGCTTTTTTCTACCCATGATGAAGGACCTGTTTACCCCTGTCCATTATGGACAAATAATTTTGTAAAATGCAGTAAAGATGAATTGCTAGAAAAATAGAATTTTTTTTAAATGATAAAATAGGGGCGCCTGGGTGGCTCAGATGGTTAAGGGTCTGCCTTCGGCTCAGGTCATGATCCCGGGGTCCTGGGATCGAGCCCCGCATCAGGCTCCTGGCTCAGCGGGGAGCCTGCTTCTCCCTCTCCCCCTGCTCATGCTCTCTCTCTCTCTCTCTGTATCTCTGTGTCTCAAATGAATAAATAAAATCTTTAAAAAAATAAAAAAATGATAAAGCTCACATTTTTCTTAGTACATTCTAAAATATGGAATTCCTTGAGATACCATAAAAATTTCTAAGCCTTTACTCTCAATTTCTGTACTTGTCACAGACCAGCACTGAACCAACACCCTGAGTAGCACCATTTTAGGAGGAAAAACTGCCAGAACACGGTGACTGATTAGTGGTGGGGGAATAAGAGGAAAAGGAGGAATCAAAGATGGCACACGTATGTGGCGTGGATAATTGAATCGCTGATGGTGCCACTTTCAGACCTAGGGAACCGGGAGGAGGAACAGCAGGCCTAGACGGGTGGACACAAGTAAAAAGAGGTATTACTGTACTGGGTGAGGCCAGGCTGCTAAGACGGGGACAGCCCAGGAGCTGGTTAAGATGATGGTGAGTGGCTCAGGGCAGAGAGCCTGAACTGCAAGTCCATTAGTCATGAGCAAGTAGACAATGACCGAGGCCCAGGAGGAAATGGACTTTCAGGACGGCTGTGTGGAATGGAAGGAGTTGAGAACCTTGGCAGGACCCTGTGGGCACCAGTGAGCAAGGACACTGGTCCTGGGAGGCTAGGGAGCCACTGGGGAGAGCCAAGGAGCCCACAGAAGTCAAGATAATAGAATGTTTTAATGTGGGACAAATGAAAAGCCGTGTAATCAGAAGCTCAGAGAACGTTGGCCTGCTCTGGTCCCTGCAGCTCACTACCTAAAATCATCCCTCTGAAAGATGTGTCTCTGGACAGCCTCATTCAAAATATGATCCTGGGAAACAATGTAGTAAGAATTACTTTAGGGGCACCTGCCTGGCTCAGTCGGTAGAGCATGCAATTCTTGATCTCGGGGTCTTGAGTTCAAGCCCCATGTTGGGTGTAGAGCTTACTTTTTAAAAAAATTACCTTAGAGTTTTCTGTGCTTTACAAATTTTCTAATTTTTTTCTAGTACTTTAAATACCTTAAGAAATAGAACAATGGTTCATTATTAACAAAAAAGAACTGATCACCGCCTAAGCATCTGTTAATTAGCTATCTCCTAGGGAAGCACACAGGATGGGTCACAATTTTGCTGTTAGGCGCAGGACCCCTGGATGAGACAGGGTAAGGTAGGCCAGCAGGGCCCTGCCACGGGGACTCCCTCCTAGCCCCACCAGGACCTGTTGCCTAGGACCGTCCTTAGCCAGCTTCTTTTTTGTGAAACAGAGCCTGCAGTAGGGTGAGGAAGGGACAAACCACCCCATTGTGTATACACACACACACACACACACACGCAGAGCAGAGATGCTCCTGGAAATGGGCATCTAAGGAGTCAAAAGACTAGCCTGGTGTCACTCACTAGCAGAACGGTGTCCTCCCTGCCAAGTGAGGGGTGCCTTCTCACCCACTTCCCACAGAGCTGGAGGACACAGTTCCCAGAGTCTTGGCTTCTCTCCAAGTGCCTCTCCCTCCCTCTGGGCAGCTTCCTCTCCTAGCCTGTCTTTCAGTTCCTCCGAGCCTCAGGTTTCAGGCCTCCCCCACCTCTGTGGTTCTTCAGCCCTGGACAGTTGCCACGCACGTCCAGGCCCTTTTTTCTTTAAAAAGTTCTCTTCCAGGGGTGCCTGGGTGGCTCAGCGTCTGCCTTCGGCTCAGGTCATGATCCTGGGGTCCTGGGATCGAGCCCGGAATCCAGCTCCCTGATCAGCAGGGAGTCTGCTTCTCCCTCTCCCTCTGCTCCCCTGCTCCTGCTCTCACTCGCTCTATGTCAAATAAATAAGTAAAATCTTAAAAAAAAAAAAAAGTTCTCTCCCAGCTATCCCTTGTCCTCTGTACCCTCCACCACCCTAATCCTTTTCTCTCGACTTCATTGCTTTGCCATGATGCCACCTAACTGGTCTCTCAGGGGAAATTTCCTTTTCTCAACCCATTCTTCCTGAATTATTTTCCTCATACAACATTCGACATGGTAGTTTGCCCCTTAAAAGCATTCAGTGTTTTCTTACTACATATAGGATCAAATTTGTGAAAAGTTACTTAATTTGGGGCGCACAAACTGTATTGGGGAAGCCCAGGGTTCTCCACACCTGGCCTAACCTACTTTTGCACCCCTTTTCCACCGTTCTGGTGAGCCAGCCAGGGCAGTGAGCTGTCCCTCAGCCCTTTGCTTGGCCCCTGTGCTCACAAAGTTTTCGCATCCAGGCCACCTCCCCTTCCTCTTCTCCTTATAAACTTGCCCTTATTTTTTAAGACCACGTCTAGATCCCTCTCCAAGCCAGCCCAGAATGACCTTGCACATCTCTGAAGGCTTACAGTATTCACTGTCTAAGCAGCTCAACTGTAATGGAATGGAATTTGAGAGTTCTTTAAAAGTTTTGTTTATTAAAAATTCTTTGGCTACCCAATTACAAAAACTAATTCTAATTTGCTTAAGACAATAAGTCAATTCAAAACAAACAAAAAATCCCCAAAACAACAACAAAAAGACAATAGGTTAATTCATTAGAGCGATAGTGGAATATCCCTTTGGTTCCTAAGGTCAGGAAGGAAGTGGGTCACTGTAATCAGGGTTTCATACCCCACCAGAACTCTGCTCTCTCTCCTGTGGTTCTGCTTTATTCATAAATCTCTTGCTACAAAATCATCTCTCAGTTTCCCAAACTACACGACAGTAAACATGACTGCAGATAGGTCCCAAGTGCTGTATGTTACAGACAAAAACTTGAAAGAGGCTACACAATCTCTCTCTCTTCTAAAATACCTATAGAGGAGATTGAAAAACCTAGCTTAAATCAGGGGCCCATCCTCAGATAATCAACATTACCCGGGAGAATATTGTCACATTTTAGAAATATAGCAGTCCCCACCAGGTGAATGGTGAGGGAGAAGGGAGGTTCCTGGAAATGGGGTAATGAAGAAATCCAATATGTATATCACTACATTCTACCCTTTGATGCCTGAGGACATGCAAACAGATACCATTTCCCATACAACTAGATTTCCTCTTTTTTTTAAGACGTTATTTTTTTATGTAATCTCTACCCCCAATGTGGGGCTTGAACTCACAACTCCAAGATCAAGAGTCACATGCTCTACCGACTGAGTCAGCCAGGTGCCCTTAAATTTCCTCCTTCTAATATGGTTCAATAATCATGTGTCAAATTATAAATGCACTTATCTTCCCAATATGATAATGTCATGACCAGATACTGCATCCAGAGGCAATAACAGGGAGCCTCTGTTATCCAGATAAAGATTTTTTTTTTTTTAATATATCCAGTCCTTCCCCACTCTGGTCCCAGAGAGCTGCAGATGTAAATCCTCATAATTCTGTGTCCCAGTGCTTAAATAATTAGTATTACTACCCCAACCCTCCCCAAATACTCTATTTTTCTAAATTCTATTTAAAAAAGAAAAAAGGGGGGTGCCTGGGTGGCTCAGTTGGTTAAGCGTCTGCCTTCAGCTCAGGTCATCATCCCAGAGTCCTGGGATCAAGTCCCATGTCAGGCTCCCTGCTCAGCGGGGAGCCTGCGTTTCCCTCTCCCTCTGCCCCTCCCCCTGCTTGTGCTCTCTCTCGCTCCCAAATAAATAAAATCTTCTAAAAAAAAAAAATATTATCTATTGTTCAGTAGTCTAATGCATAGAGCACTCCTTAAGTGATAAGACTAAATAATTTAGGGGCACCTAGCTGGCTCAGTCAGAGGAGCCCTTGACTCTTGACCTTGAGGTCCTGAGTTTGAGCCCCAAGTTGGGTGAGAGATTACTAAAAAATAAATAAACTTAAAAAAAAAGGCTAGATAATTTAATGAATATCCATTTGTTTGCTAAATTCTTTCACAATGTAGGGAGCTCCTTGGTCAGGAAAATGGCTGCCTCAGGGCCTGGTTTGCTGGAAGAATTTCCCTTGCAAGGATCCTTCAGGTCCAGTATGGAGAGAACAGTGCTGAGGAGTGCCCGGTGGGAGGGCGTGCTGTATCACTCTGCAAGTCTATTCCTATCAGGGCTAGAACCAGGAGTACCCGAAACTCCGAGAAAGCGGGGACCTTGTTACTGTTCTCAACTATATCCCTGCTGCCTAGAACTGTGACCGGCACACAGTAGGCCCTCCACAAGTATTTGTAAAATGACTAACACTTGGGCCTATGGATTGCCTTAAGGATTGAGCAAATATGGACCCTGTTGCCAAGTGTGGGATTTTTGTGGTGATAACTCCTTTAAAACCTTTGCTGGCTGACTGTCAGTTTCCTCTTTGTTGACTCGGTTTGCTAATGCATTCACGGGTGCCAGAAATCTTGTCAAGGCATAGCCTTTGAATGCTAAGTCTGTTCCAGGGAAGTACGGGCCTGGGACTTCTAGTGGCCTGGCCCAGTCTCAGGCTGGGGGTTGAGGCTGGTCCCTGCTACACACATGCTTGCGACATACCAAAAGGTGAATGCACTTGAAGGTTGGAGACATTACCACATCCCATTATCACACCTGCCACGTGGAAGTGCTAGTGGCCCTGGGATTGGGGTGTCCCTAATTTCTCTGGCTTCTCTTAAATACCCCTGCTCCAAAAGCCAGTGAACCACAATTTATAAGCTAGTAATTTAGAAATTAGTAATTTAGAAAACACAGAGAATATGGCTGCAAGATTCTCAATTATTTGAGTCTCTGGTTTCAGACTGACAGGGTTTCATACTTGTCCTGTTGTTTACTGTTCATTTTTAAGGTGGCTACCTAGAATTACAACATATCTTTCTCTCCTAACAACTTAATAAGTGTGTCAAAGAACAGTGGGTACACTTGAATTTCCTGACATTTTCCCCCAAGTTCCCTAAAGCTCCAGCTCTCAGAGGACATGGTTGGAGCCTCCAGAGATGAGGAGGGGCTTTTGCCAGCCCCCCAGCCTGGGCCCTGCTTTCTCTCAGCCGAGTCCATGCTTTAGGGTCTATAATTTGCAAATCCTCCCTCCCTTTGCTAGTTTTGGGGATAATTAAGTCTCTTTTGGGTGGGTGTATCAGATATACATTCTAGCAAGTTAAGCAATAATGACCTAATTGATTGACAGGACAGTTGAGTGTGTCACAGAATCCAAAGACAGGAATGTGACCGGCATTAAGGAGTGAACTGGAAACTGGGATTTGAAACATTAGGACAATCTCCATCTTCTGTTTCTCTTCCATATGTGCTTGCTTCACTTTTCTGTTTCTTTCTCTGCAGACCAGCTTCCTATTTCTCCAACAGATCCAAGTTTTTACCTGTTCTAGGTCCAAACACCATGTTACAAAACCATTCTTCCAGTTTCTCAGACCAATAACTTAACTACTTTTGTGTCTCACATCTGGTCCATCAGGCACTCCTGGTGGCCTGGCCCTCAGTACACATCCATAATTTTTTTTTAAAGATTTTATTTATTTATTTGAGAGAGAGAGTTAGCATGAGCAGGAGCAGAGGGAGAGGGAGAAGCAGGCTCCCCCCCACCCCCCCACCCCCCACCAAGCAGGGCGCCTGATGCAGGACTCTATCCCAGGACCCCAGGATCATGACCTAAGCCAAATGCAGCCACTTAACCAACTGAGCCACCCAGGCACTCCAACATACATCCATAATTAAACTACTCTCCCACCCACCCCACCCCCCACCAGCAGCCATGACCTCTTGCCTAGATTCCTGCAATAATTTAACTGGTCTTTCCACTTTTATCTTGGGCCCTCTGCTTTCTATTCTCAACACAGCAGCCAAATGGTCCTGTCAAGAGCATGTCATTTCTTTGCTCAAAACTCTCCAGTTGTTTCTCTTTTCATTCCAAATAACAGCCAAAGACCTTCTGAGGCCTTCCAGGGTCACTCTTCCACCCATTATCTCTACGACTTTGTCTTTATTACCCACGCCTTGTTCACTCTTCACTGACCACTCTGCTATTCCTTCTGGTCACCAGCCTCACTCTGTCTTTCAGGGCCTTTGCACTTACTCTGCCCTGAGTGTTCTTTCCCAGATATCTGCATGGCTTGCTTTCTCACCTCCTTTGAATCCTCAAATCACCTAAATGAATCCTTTCTTGGTCAAGCCACCGAGCCCCCACCCCACTGACATTTCCTACCTTCCTTCCCTTCTAAGTTTTTTTTCTCTGGAGTATTTATCACTATCTGGTTTCCTTAGGATTTATTTCATTTATTGTCTCTCTGCTCCTTTGGAATTTAAACCCCTGAGCGGCGCCTGGGTGGCTCAGTCAGTTAAGCATTTGCTTCAGCTCAGGTCATATCTCCGGGTCCTGGGATCAAGTCCCCACATCTGGCTCCTTGCTCAGGGGGGAATCTGCTTCTCCCTCTCCCTCTGACCCTCCCCTCTGCTTGTGTCCTCTCTCTCTCTCTCTCAAATGAATAAATAAAAAACCTTAAAAAAAAAAGAATTTAAGCCCCTGAGAACTATATCCCCAGACCTGGAACAGTCAGTGCCTGGCACTCAATAATTTTTTTTCTGAATGGATCAATATATACCAAGAGAAAGACTGATCTCTCTCTTTTCTTCCCTAATACAAAATACTTGGAAACAACAGAAAATTGCTGGCAGCCTCAGGGACCAATGAGGAGCCTGTAAGAGGCGGGGAACCCTAAAGCAGCTTGAAGGGAGCCTGGAGGAAAGAGGCATCTCAGAGCTCAAGCCAGCCTCCACTGGAGCCTCAGGAGAACTCTTCCTGACACCGTCCCCCTGGGGTCAAGCAGGACCCCTCCCCAGAAGTTGTAATTATGATTATAGCTTTGACTTTTTGACACCGTCCTGGTGCTTTCTATATGTATCAATTATAAATAAGTCCAGAGACTTAAAAGCAGCTTAGTCTTTCAACAGGATCATAGTAAGTTTAGAAAACACATTTTAAGAGCCAAAAAGTAACTAAAGAACATTTCAAGTGTTTTATTATAGTTCGTGGACACCATGAGAGGGATTCCTAGTCCATAGCAACTCTTCTTAATATCCCTCTTTTGTACCCATCAGCTTCCCTCACCACCACTCCCGCGGGCTTCTTCCAGATGCCCCAGAACTCCTCTCCCTGAGCCTTAGTTTGGGCCAGCTGTCCTCCTCTCTCATTGCCTTTCTTCTGATCTCAATCCACAAAGTCCAAAAGGCCCGGAAAGGAAAAGGAAAAAAGCAAGTTGGCAGCATCAGTGTATTAATAATGTTCTGTCCCAGCACATACTTGGTTTCTCACATGGTGAGGTGAGTGTTGTTCTGACCACTTTGTAGAGGAGGAAACCAGCCCACCGAGGCTTGCCCAGAAGGCGGCTCAGGCCAGTCTCCACTGACACCTGTGTTCTATCCGTTCTGCTGCGGTGGGCCAGAGTCAAGGATACAGACACCACATCTGCTTCAGCCAGCCATCTCCCGTGAGGAGCCGACAGCCTGTGCCGGGACCCACCAGCAGTCCTTGGCCCCCGGCAGAATGTCCAAGCCGGATGTGAGGTAAATTGGCTGAGACAGCCGACTCTCTGGGCTGGGTTTCTGTGGTAACAATACATCATTCAGCTTCTCTTCCAGATTCCTGAGTCCAGGGGAGAGCAAGTGAGACTCATTTTCCCCCAGTATACAAAATATATATGTAAAATTTGTCGTTTGAACTGCATCTTCTCAGACTGCAAAATTTCAGTCACAATTCTATTTGTTTTCACAAAGTTGCTTGTTTGTTTGCTTATCAGGGTTCAGGTGTGAGAGAATATCTATTCTTATTACTTCCAGGTAATCTACCTGCAAATATTTTGCTCACAGTCTGCCCCTGGCCTGAAAGATAAGAAAACACTACTAGGTTCCAAGGAGACTGAGGAAGCTTTATTTTCTATCTTCAGTCTTCCAAAATTCCAGGATGAGGGGCTCACATTATGTAAAGTGTGACTTGACTTGACATTTGGCTAGAATCAGATAATCTGAATACTTTAGCCCTGGTGATCTTGTGCTGACTAGAAGCCCTCATTGTAAAAATGTGTGTTCTCTTTTTTTTTTTTTTAAAGATTTTATTTATTTATTTGAGAGAGAGGGAGTGAGAGAGAGCATGAGAGGGGAGAGGATCAGAGGGAGAAGCAGACTCCCCACTGAGCAGGGAGCCTGATGTGGGTGGGACTCAATTCCAGAACTCCGGGATCGTGACCTGAGCCAAAGGCAGTTGCTTAACAAACTGAGCCACCCAGGCGCCCTCTCTTATTACAAATAATAGCTATCATTTACCAAGTGCATTAACTTACTTAATCTTCACAAAATCCCTTGAGGCCAGTTTTACAGAGGGAAAAACAAAGAATCAGAAAAGTGAGGTAACTTGTTTAAGTAAACAGCATAGCCGGGATTCAAATTCCGTTCTGACTGAACTTAAGCCTGAAATAAAATTGCAGTCCGTTGGAAAGCTTTCCCACATGTGGCTCTAAAGGTGGGGACCAGCCGGAGAACAGGCCCTTGGTGGAAGCTCTGAGGGACAGCTCTGAGGGGAGCTGAGGACTTCCTACACCCTGGTGGGGCCCCAGGGGGCAGAGTTGGCACTCTGGGCCTCCTTCCGAAAAGCCTTTGCAGCATCCTAGCTTGAGGAGCATTTCCCTGGGGGGAGTTAGGACAAGATGCCTCAGCCCTGGTGAGTGCCCCTGGAGGGGGTGGCCAGACACTCCTGGCCCCCAGGCCCTCACCTGTCTCCGTAACTGGACGTGGGGGAGGGAGCCCCAGGTTGGCTGCGGGAGGTGCTGCTGTTGGGTATAGGAGGCTGAGGAGAGGTGTCCCTGGTGTGGAGTTGAGGTCCCCGGAGGAGGAGCCACTGTTCTACTCTTTCTCCCCTCTGTTCCTGCTCTCCTGTCCTCCCCTCCCTGTCCCCTACCCCCAACCCCATCTGTCCTGGCTGTGTGTGAGGCTTTCTGCAGCCAGCCTCCCTCTGAGCACCTGTGTCCCTCTGCCTCCCTCAGTCATTCTGTGCCTCCCTCTTCCTCACGGCCTAGTGTCACAGCAAAACTCATCAATGGAGGTGTGGCAGGGCTTGTTGGGGTGACCTGTGTGTTCCCCATCGACTTGGCCAAGACTCGGCTGCAGAACCAGCATGGAAAAGACATCTACAAAGGAATGTAGGTTTTGGTGAGGGGAATGGGGTGAGTAGGGAGGGGGGAATTCCCGGGGAGGGATATGGGGCCTCATTCCTTCCGGTCTCTTTATTTAGGGAGTTCATGCATTGTGGGGGTAGAGTGGGGTGGGGGGAGATGGTCAACTGGGGTGTGCCCAGAAGGATTAGTGCACCGGGTTGGGGGGAGGGCTGATGGGCATCCTCTTGCTCACCACTGATTTCCTTTTCTGGCTTCTGCTTCTAGGATAGACTGCCTGATGAAAACTGCTAGGGCAGAAGGCTTCTTGGGCATGTACCGAGGTGGGCTTATCATGCACCCCAGGGGAGGCTTGGCTTGGGCCAAATGAAAACAGAGAGGGCAGCCCAGCACACCAGACTCTGTGGCTTTATAGAATATTGGGAAGTGGCGTTTCTTCTGCCCAGGGAGCTCCTGGGGCGGGGCCTGGGCTACCAGGTGATCCTAAGCCACATTTGATTTTTATAAACCCCCATGTTCCTTGGTGGAGACAGGCAGTTATGGTAAGGTTTGGGGGGACACCAGTGAGCACACTAAGGAGCCCAGGAGCCCCAGTTTCCATCCTGGCACAACTGTGTGATGCTGGAAGCAAGTGGTCCCCACCCCCCGCCCCCATTCAGGGCTGTCAGGGCATTAGCTACTAAAAGCAGAAGGGGAAGAAGCTGACAGGGAAGAGATGGAAAGGGTTTTGAGCTTCTGACAGGGAGTTACTTGTTGGCTTCTCCCTGACACAAGCAGTGCTGTCCCTGTCCCCTGCAGTGACCCCATCCAGGGCCTCATCGCCATGATTAGGGCTTGGAAAATGGATACAAATCTGGTGTTAAGAAGGAGCTGATATGGGCGCCTGGGTGGCTCAGTCGTTAAGCGTCTGCCTTCGGCTCAGGTCATGATCCCAGCGTCCTGGGATCGAGCCCCACATCATCGGGCTCTCTGCTCCGCAGAAAGCCTGCTTCTCCCTCTCCCATTCCCCCTGCTTGTGTTCCCTC